TAGTAGGTAGATTTTGTATGTATGGGGACACCTGGAAACCTGGAAACCTGGAGACCCCCCCGTCCTCCGTTCTCCTCGCGACGATTAGAAATTGTCAAAGGCGGTGAAAACAACAATTGCCGGAGGCGATGGTCTAACGATTGCAGGTGTAAAAATAATTATAGGCATTATATTAATTTTTAACACAGCAAACACATAGTCCAACAGAAAAAGAGAAAAGTGCTAATAATAAAACGATAAATAGACATCGACTTAACTATTACATTATATATGATGTTGTTCTGAAACAAAACATGATTTTACAGAAAACGACGTTTACTTAATGTAATTAGAAAAAATAGAAAATCGATTTAAAACCGAAAACAACCCATTACAAACGAATTAAGTTTAGTTTTAATCATTTTGGCACAGTTAACACATATTATTCCAATGGAAAAAGGGGAAAATGCGAAAAAATGATAATTAGACATCGACTATATTACAATATATATTAAAAGGTGCTTTGAAACAAAACATGATTTTACAGTAAAACGAAAGTATCGTTTACCTAATGTAAGTAGAAAAAATAGAAAGACGAGTAAAACCGAAATCAACCCATTAAAAATAAATTAAGCTTAGTTTTAATAAACAACAAACAAGTTAAGAAAATAATACATAGGGAAAAGGGCGTAACAGGTGGGGTTCTATGGGTCTTGAGAGTATAAATACGGAGTAGAATTCAGCTTACGATTAAGTACTGTCGAACGGTTATCATAGTGCAACACATAATATCCAAAATGTTTTCCTGTGATAAGTGTGAAAAATCGTTTTCATTTAAACATGGTTTAACGCGTCACCAGAAAGCCCACGATGGTGTAAGGTTTTCTTGCCGGTTATGCTCAGCGTCGTACGTTCAAAAGAATGATTTGTCCAACCACGTGCAGAACAAACACCGTAAGTAAAATTTTTTTTAAAATAGCGAAAAGTAAATAAAAACTAATCTAAGATCGATTTAATTAAAGATCTGGTCAAACACGGTATCGATTACAAGGAGGCAATGGGTATGGTGATAAACGAACCGTTAACAATCGGTAAGTCATAACAATAAAGATATACACTAATAACACATTACGTTAGGAAACAACCAATTAGTAATACTATAATTTGGTCATTAGATAATGCGGCGGGGCCATCCAGACCAGCGAATTCGGATAACAAAAGAACCAATTGTTCCACAGGCGATAACTCGGCTAAATTGAAACGCATGAAAAAAACAAGACTCATGACAGTTAATACTCCTGGCTTTATGGAAATTGGAACGGCTCTAAAAGATAACATTCGATGGTTTTACCGGAAAAACGTTGAACATGAGATTAGTTATAGAAAGTTTCTAGATTGTATTAAAGGTGAGCTAACCGATACGCTACAGCAGTGTGTACGAGCAAATCCAATTAAGTTCAACCTTAAGTTGGAGGCCACATACAACATCCCACACCAAGATAACTCCGCTGAAAACAGATCATTTAAAACGAAAGCCACCGAACTGTTTGAAGACACAGACATAGAAGCAGTCATCGAAGAAGCTTTTAATATCCTACTCACAGAAGAAGAGGGGTATACCGAGAAAGGAAGCGGATTTTCACTTATGGCAATCGACGGTCTCCTTCTAGGTGTATACAAGTACACACCACTCGGTGGATCGTCATACATTCCCCTACCTGCAGACATACGATCCAAATACGCTGTCGTTAACCCTCAAAACCACGACAACAGGTGCTTTAAATGGGCAATATTAGCCAAACGGGTTAACGGAGTGCACAAAGAAAGGATTGGGACAAAATACACATCAATCGAAGACCACTACGATTTCTCAGGTATATCATACCCGACGCCGCTAAAGGACATTAAGATATTTGAGAAAACAAATCCAACCGTTAGCGTTAATGTGTTTGGGCTAAAAGCGTGTCACGAAAACAACACAATTAAACACATAGTATATCCATTACGCGTTGTCCAAGAAGAAAAAAATGACCACCACGACCTACTTATTGTAACAAACAAAGAGGGCGATTGCCATTATACATGTATAAGGAACTTTAGTGCATTAATTCAGAGCCAACAAACGAAAAACTGCGCAAAAATGATTCATTGTAAGCGGTGTTTTACTGGGTTCAATTTTATACCAAAGATCCACAAGCCACACGGGCGTGAAGCACTGGATCTACATAAAAAAATCTGCGGCGAGCACAAACCAGCACTTCCACTCATGCCTGAACCGGGGTCAAAACTAAAATTCGAATCATGGGAGAAGACCCAAAGAGTCCCTTTTGCCATTTACGCAGACTTCGAAAGCCTTTTAGTGAAATCTGAAGACCACATGGGTGAGAATACTCAAGTTCTACACGAACATAAGGCTATGAGCTATGCATTTGTCGTCAAAGCTGCAGATAACATACCAAAAGAATTGTTAGATGCATACAATATCAGACAGTCGCTAGTCTTGTTCCGAGGGACAAAAGATTCAGGGCCGAACGAGGTGGCTAGTCGGTTTTTAGAAGACGTGTCCAAGGAAGCCGAAAAAATTGCAGACTTGCTGAAAACAAACGTCCCCATCATGATGAGCGAAGAGCAGACCTCTATACACATGGCCAAAACTCTGTGTGACCTCTGCAAGTGTCCGTTCACCAAAGAAAACCTAAAAACCGCCGACCACGATCATCTTACGGGGGATTTCCGACAAACGCTGTGTAACAAGTGTAACTTAAAACTTAAAACGGTGAATTTCGTCCCCTGTTTTTTTCACAACTTAAGTTCTTATGATTCACATTACCTCATAAAACAGCTTGGAAACACAGACAAAAGGATTTCCGTTATACCGAACACAGAAGAACAGTTTATTTCATTTTCAAAATATGTTACAAACACTTTTTCTGTACGGTTCGTCGACAGCTTTCGGTTTATGGGATCAAGTTTGGCTGCCCTGACTACCAATTTACGAAAATGTGACATGGGGTTATTCAAGGAAACAACCAAGACATTTGCCGGATGTGATTTGAGCCTGGTTACTCAAAAATCTTTTTACCCATACTCTTACACGTGTGACTGGGATAGGTTAGAAGAAACAAAGCTTCCGCCTAAAGACGCATTCTTTAACGAGCTAACCGAATCGCATATAGGTCAAAACGATTACGACCATGCTGTGAGAGTGTGGGATTATTTCAAATGCAAAACTTTGGGAGAATACTCAGACATTTATTTAAAAATTGATACTGTAATTTTATGCGACGTTTTTGAAGCTTTCCGTGACTTATGCATGAGAACGTACAAATTGGACCCCTGTCATTACTACACTGCCCCTGGACTCAGCTTTCAGTCAATGCTGATGTACACAGGTATAGAGCTGGAGCTTCTAAGTGATTATGAGATGATGTTATTTTTTGAACGAGGTATTCGGGGAGGAATGACATTCTCGACTATGAAATATGCTAAGGCTAACAACCGAAAGACGCCTGGATACGATCCGAATAAACCTGACAGCTGGATTCTTTATCAAGATGTCAACAATTTATACGGATGGAGCCTTTCCCAGAATATGCCCCACTCTGGATTTCAATGGTTGGATGAGGACCCCGAGACATCCCTTAGGAGACTTGAAGATTTGGATGAAAAATCTCCAACAGGGCTGGTATTTGAAGTGGATATAACATACCCAAAACATCTACACGATGAGCATAACGAGCTTCCCTTCTTACCAGAAACCAAATGCCCGCCGGGGTCAAAAATAAAAAAACTGCTCACAACGTTTGACAAAAAGACTAATTACGTTGTCCACTACCTAAACCTTAAACAAGCGATCGCCAACGGACTGCGTGTCGAAAAGGTAAGATTAATAATAATAATAACAGCACAAATAAGTCATTAATTTTAACGGGGTTTTAGGTACACAGAGTGTTAAAATTCAATCAATCGGCTTGGCTGGCACCATATATAGAATTGAATACGAAGTTGAGACAAAAAGCATCCAATGACTTTGAAAAAGACTTTTTCAAACTTATGAATAACTCCGTATTTGGTGAGTAACCAAAAAATATCAGTCGGTAATTAGAATAATTATTAATTTTAGCATGATATTCAAATTAGGTAAAATGATGGAACGAATGCGGTTACGCATGAATATGGAGTTGGTCAATTCCCCAAAAAGAGCCGCTAAACTTATTAAAAAACATAATTTTAAGAATTGCACCACGTATGGGGAAAATTTAGCCGCCATCTCCTTTGATAATAAAATCATAAATTTCTGCAAACCTATCTATGTCGGCTTCGCGGTACTAGAAATTAGCAAGACGTTAATGTTCGAATTTCATTATAACGTCATTAAGAGATATTTTAAGGACCGCGTACACATAATATACGGTGATACAGGTAAGAAACCGATTATAAAATAATGCTGGTTAATCATTTGTTTTGTATACATAAATTATAATAAGTATTATTATTTTAGATTCTCTCGTCTACTTAGTTAGGACTGAAGATTTTTATGCTGAGGTGTCGGCGAACCCTGATTTACTCAAATGGTTCGATACCTCTAATCTTCCCCACAATCATCCAGCCTATTCTATCGCTAAGAAAAAAATCCCCGGACTGTTTTCTGACGAGACCAACGGGTTAACTATCTATGAGTTTATCAGTCTCAGACCAAAAACATATGCCTTTGAAAAGGAGTCAGTGGATGCACAGAGGACGGATGAAAAAATTAAAGCGAAGGGCATCAAAGGTCACGTGGTAAAACATCACCTGACAATGGAAGACTTTAAAACCTGCCTGTTTTTGGAAGAAGAAGATACAATTGATAATGCTAAGGCCACAGCTCGGACACACGGGAGAGCCGTACTCCAACACATTCACGAACAGGGGACCGCCGCCACCGTCAATACACCCGTCAAGTACCCTACGTACACACCTTATAGGGAGAATATTTCTATACGGTCATTTCAACATGATATAAAAACAATAAAAACAATGAAAATGACACTTAATTGGCACGATGACAAACGTTTTATTTTACCTGATAGAATTCATACGCTCGCTCACGGCCATTACAAATTAACGTGAGTAACCTTTTACATGACCGCTATATATATATATATATATATATATATAATACTATAGATACTTAATGATTTATTTATTTATATTTACAGTGAGCAGCAACCCGGTAGTGATGATGAAGAAATGAATGAGACGAGGTGATCGACTACCTACTCCGTTTTCATTAACAATTTAACAAACGGAATAACACCATTTAAATAAACAATAACGTACTTTTCATAATATTATTACTTGTATTATTATTGTAATTATTTTGTGTGTTTATTACCTAACAAACATGTGAAGTGTCTTGTAAATATTAATCATTAATGTTCCAAAAATAATAATGTATTATAACTGTTCACCAAACAATAATATTATTACTATCATGTTTAATGGTAATATACGATATTGTAGTTAACCATACTCTAAGTCATTATTGTTATTTTTAGTATTAGTAGATGAAGTAGTAATAAAGTTTAAACAAATAAATATAAAGAAAACTAGTTATTTCGTTTATAATTATGTCATTATTATTATTATAAAAACATATTGTTGACATTATTTTATTATAAAATATATATATATATATATATATGTATAAAAAAAAAAAAAAAAAAATAAAACATACAAATATTACTATAAAATTGGGTTTTAATATGTACATAGTAAACAATAACAGATAAATCAAATAAAATTAAATAAAAAAATAAAAAAAATACATACATAAGAAATCAACATAAGTTAATAGACTAATTAATGAGTCTATTAAATAGGTGGAATATTATATTATGTGAGGGGACATTGGAAAAATGTTCTTCCACGGCAAAAACATCTGACTGGCTTAGCCAGAGTTGCAGTCTAGCACCGCATCCCTCACACGTCTTAAATTGGGATAATTCATGAATTAACCTGATTTTATTGGGTATTTCCCGGGTAGCCGAAACCACATGCACAAAAGTAGCCTCAGGATTGAGGCACGTCGATCTCTCCGTATTACATACGAACATAGACCGACGCGTTACCCTCCCTGAGGGTAAGATTATGCGCATGGTCGTCTCCCGGTAATTATCCCATATAAAATTGTTTTGCCATCGATTGAGGAAAAACAAAATCTCCTCCATCGAGTAACAAAAAAAATTAGCTCGCACCAGGTCCCCCGTATTAAACCCAACCGAAGCCATTGTATCATAAAAAATATACCTGAGCGTCCTGTAGCGTATTCGGCGGTAATACAGGACTGGGTCACCGCACGCTAGAGCTCGACTTGCATCCAATGGCCAGGTATTTGAGTATAGTGACCTTAGGGTCGTATAAGCTGTGGAGTCGGGCCCGTGCATGATGTGAAATATGACAGCTGCAAACGACGCACGTTCGCTCACCGACCACCGATCTCGGAACAAGTAGGCGCCCGGCCACGGAAAGTCTTCCAAAGAAACTTCAGCTGAACGTATCCTCCTCTCCATATCACCGCTATAATCCATGAAATAGTCCATATCTCCATCGGTAATGGGCACTAAAAAATATTAAAAACAAATTATAAATTTGATTTTTGTAGTTTAGTAAGAAATATAGGAAACGAGCAACCAATATTTAGTGATAAAATTAGATTTTTTTAGGTAGAACGGTGGAAAATATAATTTAAATAAATACCTTCAGATTCATCGGTGTCGTACTCCTCTTCTTCCTCCTCCTCCTCCTCTTCCTCACTGGTTTCTTCCTCGGTATCGTCCTCAGCGGACTCGGTTTCATAGTCCAGATATGTAAATGGATCGCGAAGTATGCCGTCTGAACCACGCAGACCGAAGCCGCCGTCGGGCAAACCGAACGCTTCAACAAACTCTTCGCGAGCCGAAAGCGTTACCTCCAGCTCCTCGTTTTCACCCGCGGTTGAACACTTATCAATAAATACTTTAGGTTGCATTTTGCAGATGTGTGCGGTCGATGACGCAAAAAATAATACTTCGATCGAGCTGAACATTTGCAACTGATAAATGTACACTAATCGAACGGTATTTATGCCCAACTAAAGAACTCTTAAAAGGCTTCACTAGCCGAAAAAAAAAAAGGAGGTATCGATCAAGGGAAGTATATTTAATATCCGCTTATACTAATAATAATTAAACACACATCAGGTATAATATAATAACATATAGTTTTATTTCAAAAAATAGTGCAATTTTATATATACAATTATGAATAACACGAGTGAACCAAACTATGTAGTAACAAGTCATAATATTAAGACATTCGTAGAATCGATTACTATAATCGGTGACCCGCGCGACTTATTATATAATATTATCCAAACACCATTTTCTTAATAATAAACCTCTATAAAATGTACATTGTGTTGAAACCGAATTAATATGAAAAAGACAACAAGGATATGGATCTTGTGTGGTTGACAATTCGTCTAGGCGTGGACATAAAAAGTCTTCCATGTTAATTATTTCCCGGTCCGAAAGAAACTCGAGTAAAATTGTTCGTTTTTGCAATCCCTTTACATAAATTATTTGAAACGGTAGAGCCTTAAGTATAGTCGGTATGTCGCTGCTATCGACGTCGCCAACGTCCAGTGGTATTTTATGATAGTGTTTTTCAAGCCAGCGATTGACACCTCGGGACTTTGGATCTTGGGCCATGCACGACGAATATTTAAATATCCAATGACCAAAACTTAGATTTTCAATGCATATTACAGATAATTCTTTAATCAGGTATTTAGAATCAGGTCCAAGGACACATTGGAAATCTATTATGGCAGATGTCATATTGATATATACTTGTAGACTTGGAATACAATCTGTGGACTTGTAACGATATCCAGCCGTTTTTTGTGACTGAAGTTTATTTTATCAAATCTTTGCTTTTTATCCAAGAATTATGTTCAGCTCCAAAACCCATCCATTTCACTAACACTTTATCCCCCCTCCTCTTTATTATTTTTTGAACCAGATAATCATCGGGAAATTGAGTCTTTTTTAGCTCTTCGGTGTAAAAACCCCCCATTATGGGATTATGTTGATAATCTTCTAGTAAATACGTTACCGGTCTGGTCGGACAAACCTTAATTATTGTAAACACTTCATATGACCAGTTAACCCCAAAGCTTTTATCGAACACGGCCTTCCTGGCGCTGATCCTTACTTTATCGCCTACCTGGAATTTGGGTATGGAGTTTTTACAACTCGGGCGATTATGTATAATAACTTTGCTTGGATCGTGTTCTGCTTGTAATGGGCTCATTCGTATAGTTCTGTGTTTAGAATTATTGTAATCGTTTACAATAGAGTCTAATATAGGAACCCATTTATGATTGCCCTGAGCTGTGAATTGTCTATATAGTCTCAGTTTAAGTGTTAAATTCAGTCGCTCACAAATGGAAGCTTTGAGATTACTATACGTCGAATAATGATTAATATTATACTTGGCCATGAGCGCAGCGAACTTAGAGCTGTAAAACTCTCCACCGTTGTCCGATTGAAGATTTTTTATCTTCCTTTTGCTCAATATAGGTTCTAAAGCTTTAACGACTTCTCCGGTAGACTTGGTTTTAAGTGGTTTCGCCCATGCAAATTTAGTAAAACAATCGATTATAACCAAAATATATTTGAAGCCCCTGTTTTCTCTGGAATAGGGTATCATTTCCACTAGGTCAATTTGTATTAGGTCGTCACGACCCTTTAGCACTACAGAACGCCTAGGATATATTAACCTGCGAGGTCTATGCAATTCGTTGGCAATTTGTTTTTTAGACATTTGGAATTTTTTTAATTATTTTGGCCTCATAAAGTTCTTCAAAAATAGAAACTATTTCGTTTCCGTGTGCAGTATTCCCGGCCGCTTGTGAAGATAATAATAACCGTAATCTATCGATTAACTCATCGGCACTGTTCCAATACTTGTACGATTTTTCAATGTTTTCATTCAAAGACAACTCTAATCCTTTAGCGTTCTTGAACAATTTAGAAATTATATTAGTGTATTTT